TTTTCTCACCTGGCCTTCACCTTCATAAGTCCCATGGCCCACACACGTTGAGTTTGATGGGGTCCATTAAAATAATGGGACAAGCATCTCTATGCTAACCTTAGTTTAGCTCAAGTTGGTTTGGTGCACTTGCACTGCCCATCTTCATGAAGAAATTAAATATCTTATATTTTTAATTAATTTGGTAGTGTAGAAAATAAATGAATAGTGGGGTTTCACACATTCAAATGATATTTTGGGGCCATGCCATTGATGATGAATGTCAAAAGTAGTTAGCTAAAAAGGTAGTGTATTCAATCATGTCTGAGAAAGCGAGTATGTGAACTAAAGTTATGAACAAATATTTTATGTTAGGGTTAAGGCTAATTCTCTGACTATTTTATTTTAGGGTTAAGAAATTCATTGATTTGGTAATAAAATATACAAGAAAAATACGCAATGTTATTACTTGGTTTCCAATCCATCAAAGGCTACGAAGCTTCGATTGTACTTGCATATGACATATATGACATATACAGATAAGATTAATTAATTATAATGTGAATATTACTGGTTTAGGTAATCTTTCATTTTCAGCTGTGTGTGATGCTGCACTTTGGACCATGCATTGGATTATAATAATTAATCCATCTCAGATTAAGAAATTAAGAAATTAAGAAATTAAGAAATGATATTATGATGTGTGCATGCCAGTTGCCACAGCACTACTACCTTAAGTTATGATTGCTGCCTCCCATGATCCAATCAAGATCATTAGCTACCACTTACTTATGCACAAGAAAAATAAAAATAAAAATAAAAACTTGGCATGATACTTATTTGTTTTTATATATATTATAACATTGACCACCAACCAAGGAATGCATTTGACTAAGTTGATTTGGGATGACCTAATTTCACAGCCAAAGACCTAACTTCATTTTGTCTATGAATGAAAGCTTGTTTACGAATAGATGACATAATAAAACTGTGCAATTAGAAACCAAATCCAATAGGTATTTGGATTGATGATGGGGTAGTTTGAAGGTAGGTCTAGTTGCATGTGTGTCACTGCCAAAGACCATTTAGTCCAACGACTTCACTCATTAAGGTCAACAAATATTAAGATATATATGTCTCCTTGGTGAATACATTATTATCTTATTTATGAACAAAAATAGAATAACACACTTGCAAGAACATATATTTTTTAATCTTTTATTTATTTATTTGAGACAGGAGTCAGGAGAGATGGACATTTGACTTTGGAGACTCTTTAGACATTGTGTTTGCGAAGATCTGATGGGAAGGAACACTCCCCTCCCCCAAAAGAAGAAAGAAGAAAGAAGAAAGAAGAAAGAAGAAGAGATCATATATCTTTTTCTTCTTATGCCAACATGCATGCATAGAGATTCTCCCATAACCTAGATTTCGTGCATTTTGCGGTGCTTTTGTAAATGATAAGCCACCCTTTCCTTCCAGAATAAACCACACATATAAAAAGATATGAATTCTTAAATCTCTGTCTCCTTCCAGCTGATCACATATGTATATAATGGTTCTAGTTAGGGACTATAATGTTTGCCAGCAGAATAGTTAGGGGTTATCATTGTTATAATTAACACTAGTAATAGTACACATACATAATGTCAATTTGCAGTACCAGAAAAATAGACCTCTAGCTACAGTTTTCCTATTCTTTATTGATTTTGGTCCAACCTACAATGATTTGAGTTTGACGGCGTATCATCAACCATGTATAACATATGGTTAGATCTTAACAAGTGCTAGCTACAACCTCGTCTAAGAGAAGATAATGAGAAACTTTATTAATTTGTTAGGCAGGATAAGAAAACTGCTTACCTGCATTTCATAATGACCCCGCTTTGTAGGGGTGTGATTTCAAATGTTAGGCCAATGGCCATGATAGCACAAGGAAGTTAAGATTTGATTAATACTTCACCATTTATCAAGATGGCCCAAATTTATGTGCAGAGTCATAAGTTCAACAGATGGTTCACTGTAGTTTTTTTAAAAAGAATTCAGAATTTAGTCATTGGTTGCTTGCTAAAGGCCCTCATCTACGGTAACTTGCAAGCAGCCGTTTTGTCTTTTGCCTTGTACTGGCCAAGCATCTCGGCTACAGTTTTGCATCTGCACTGGTTTCCTGGCCTAATCACATCACCGTACACAGCCATTTCAATTATGTCAAGCTCCTTATCTGCAAGTTAAACGAGATACATGATTCTGAGATGCATGTCTCACCAGTTCTAATAGCTGCTACAGGAACGAGAACGTGTCCAAGACTAGTGCATACATTTGTTTTTTGTTTTTTATTTCAACCAAGCAAATCACATTTATGTTCACTCAAGCAGATAGGCTATCAGAAGTTTGGATGATTATTTCTAAAACGTATGACTATGATGACATCAAAGTTCAATAGCGAATGGTAATTAAAGACTTTAGACTCTTGCAAGATCTAAATTTCTCAGGAACAAGCAAGAAGGATTCAAGGTAATAAGGAAGGATCAGAGAAAAGGGTTGTTATGAGAATAATGGCAGAAAGTAGTTATGAATTTTCAAGCGAACATTTTGCTATCAGAAACAAGTTCTAAGTGAAGGTATAGCTTAATCTACTATGTGTCGTTTTCACATTGAATACAAGTTAGACAATGTACATCCCAATTCCTGAATAAAGAAATATGCTCCATTCTGTTTAGATAATTGATCATCAGTTAGTGTCTTCTGGATATAAAGCTCATAACTTTTTCACAACTAATTAAAATGCATACCAGATACCAGAACCTAAGTAAATTTGTACTTCCAACTTAATATCAGTCTCAACATGGAAAACTGGTAAGTTTAGGTGCAACTCAACAAAGACCAAGCTAACCAAAGTCAAACCCTTCATTCCGTCCCCAGAAATCTAACCCACAATACTCTTAGCGCATCTCCATTGGGAACAATGACCTGACTAGAACATTTACAAAGCATTGGACATATTGAGACATAAATCCCAAATACCATGACAAACACTACCAAGGTATATATGGACCTAAAACAAATATTCTCATTGTGACTATCCCTTCGGACTTTAGACCAGAAAAACAGTTCAAAATCGTGATGAATGCTTTTGGGATGATACTTGAAATAGTTATCAATGGAATAAAGGAGCATCAGAACTAAACTTCTACAATTAAGTAACATCACATAGATTCATGAAGCACCTTCTAAACTTTGACTATAGACATGGACAGTAGAAACCAATGACATAATAAATTAGTCGTGTAAACTTTATTTTTTGTTTGGATTGAAACTCATATGCACTCTTTACTTGAAAATATTTTAGTAACGTTCCCCCTAGAAGCAATAGATGCAAACCATGAGAATGAAATGGTGTTTACAATTCAAAGACCAAAACTATTTTGCTCAACCCAATAACCAGAACATGGAAAGTATAAGCTAAACAGAACGGAACACAGAATCTAATATTAATAGTGAACAAAAGAACATGGAAATCAGACCTGTAAACTTGACATCGCAAGAGTAACCTTTCAATTGAGTCTTGTCAATCTGGTCTTTGTCTGATTTGAATCTGTTCACTCTTGTTTGAAGAATCTGACAATTGTCTTCTGTGGATTCACCACCTACAACAAAATCCCAAATCTCAATGAACTCAAACACCAAATTGGTTGGCAAATCAAGGCTCCTCTTTGTTTATTTGGTGAACTGAGGAGTAAAGAACTAATTTTGAAATTTTATGCCTCCACAACGCCAAGGTTTTGAAAAACTCAAAACGTCTAAATCAAAGTAAATTACATTATATTATAATGAGTCACCGAAGTCCTGTATTGTTACTTAGGATGCCACACAGCAACAATTGTAGAAAAAAGCTCAAAACTTTTAGTTCTATATATTGTTTCTTTCCCACCATTACTCAGCACCAAGAATAGAATTGAAAAAAATACACAGGGCAAGTAAATTTCGGAAACAAACGCGACATGATTGCACTAGTTCAGAAGCAAAACACAAACACCATTATCGAAATTGAGTTCAAGCAACTAGTATATGCAATCAAAACGCTAAAACAAAAAACACTCAGTTCACAAATCATCAAAAAGGATCAAAATATTGAAACTTCCCAGAAAGAAAAGGAAACGATTCAGTCGAAAAAGAGAAAAGTTAGGACCTTTGGAGAAGGGAACTATGTGATCGTACTCGAAGCAGAGGCAGCCCTGGCAGTTGCAGAAGCGCTTACAGACAACGTTACCAGCAGCGTCTTTGCGCCACCTCTCAGGGTGTCGACCTGGCACTACATCAGCCTTTGCCCAGCAATTGCTCTTTGCTTTTGAATCGAAGAAGCGTGGTCTATCTTCACCCTTGCTTTTACTACTGGTACCATTATCACCACCACCACGGGAACGGTGAGGCGAAGAAGAAGAAGGTGAAGAAGAACTCATCTCTCTCTCCCCCTCTCTCTCTCTGATTGATTTGTCAAAGTGTATTGGACCAGACGAGGAACGAGGGGAAGTTTCTCTCCCAGAAGAGACTAGAGTCTAATCCAGAGAAAACTTGCCTCAAACTGGAGTAATTTGGGGTGCCAGGTCAGATGCTAACCTGGCAGCGCAATCCAATGAGATTTTAACACCTGTACTAACTGAATTTATGCCCCCTCCCGCCACTTTTTTGTTTCTGTTTTGAGAACAGTACCTTAAGATTTTATCCTCATTCACAGCTCAAAACTCCCTCAAGCTCTCTCCTTAGCCCCTCTCAAACTCCTTGTACATTTGTGGGTTTAACAAAATCAAGCTCTGTCATTTTCATATGGTAAGTGGAAATTCCCAAGGGCTTTTTTTTCTTCCGTCGTTCTTGTAACCGTTGTAGGGTTTATAATTTCGCAATTTTTTGTTAAATTTCAAAAGAAAATAGAACAACATGCAATTGGTGTTGATTAAGCAACATTTAAGATCAAATGTGGCTAGTCAACTGATTCATAATAATCATGAACAATCTGATGCTGATAAGTGGCATAAATTTTGCATATGGAATAGCCAAAAAGGGAACAAAGATGTACACAATACTGTTGCTTAAGATTTTTTCTTTTTCAAAAAAAGAATGACTGTAAAAATGAAAAATGTCACGCATCCTTAGAAGTCTTCAACTTTAATGGCATCTCGAGGCATTTCATAGGCATCTTTGGGCCTTGATTTCTTCACTCCCGCGGTGAACCACACTTTGTCAGACTTATAGCCCTCGACGCTAACACTTGTGACTTTAACCCAAACCAGAACCTTTGTCTTCATTCCTTCTATTCCACTAAGCTTTCCCCTTGACAATGTTCCTTTGATGCGAATGTTGTACCTCACAACAGATGAGTCCTTGAAACTCACCTCACAGGGAGAGGGCAAGTAGACAATGAGCTTGCCCTTTGATTCATCAAATTCATAACATGTTATGTTCCTGGGAAACAGGCCAGGAGGAAGGTAGTATTCTCGGAGAAGATCAGGCAACGGTTTTTGTGGCTTGCCTATAAAAGAAGAGCAGAAGGGTCAGCTTCATTTATTTTGAAACTACATGTACCTTAAACATCCTCACAGACTATGCCAACTACGTAGAGGCAGCGGTCACCAACTACGTAGAGCCAGGATCACTTAAGTGATGTGCATTTTGAGTTCACTCTACTAAGACAGTACGTTTATTATTGTGAAGCAGATGAAAAAACTAGAAGCTATGCTAATTCTGATACATTAAGTGAAGTTCCATGTGATACCAAAATAATTGCATACAGAACACACAGATAATGATGTATTATTATCTTCATCCTGCTATTAAGTAGGCAGTGGGAAGTATCTGAAGCGCCCGCGAATTGGTCAGTAATCTAGGCTAACTCAGTTTCTGTCACAAGTGTTGAGAAATCCAAATATTTATTTTACATATCTAAACCAACTCATAAATGAAGGATACTCCATAACTAGTGAGAGGCTTCTTATGCCACATCATGGCCCGGTGATACTCTACCATACATGCATATTCTTATATGCTTCAATTTGGTTCTAATTTACTTGTTTGTGGATTTGACCCTGCCCAAATGGAGATGTGTATTCCTACCTGATTAAATTATTAAGTATCTTTAAAGTAGCTCTGAATCATGAAATCAAGTGCAACTGCAAAAATTTGGCAAATGCAGAGACTTGTCTAGAAAAACAAGGCCAAGAAGATGACAAAAGGAACTTGCTTTTCAAATGGCTACTTCCAATTACACTGTTTTCCTCTGTTCTACCTTGCTACGATGTTCCCAGTTCTAAATTCTAAACCAATGTCTAGTATTATTGTCTACACCCAAAAAGTTATAAAAGGTTTCTAAATGAAAGATGTACAAGACTAAAGAGGAACATCAATACTTGTGAATTAAAAATTTTATCAGTAAACTCAGAAGGAATGATATGTCAAACAACAATAGATAGCACCATGCTCATGTTCTTGTATTTAGTTAAACTAAAATGAGTGCATTGAGGTTAAAAAAAAGCTCCATACCTTTCAGCTTGTTGAATATCCATTTCGCTTTCTCCTCAACAGTGTTTGAGAGTGACTGAAATTATCATTCACATGTATAGTGTCAGGCAACACAAATTTTGTATTGTATTATCAGCAAATCGAAACACAATCTAGATTTAACAACAAAAAAAAAGATCTCAGTGAAACAGAATTCTAAGGAAGACAATATTCTATGGGTCTCCAATTGATTATCTTTTTTCCTTAGCTCTTTGTAAAATGATCAAATGGGTCTTCCCCATTAAGCAGCATTATGTCAAGATTACAGAAAGAGAAAGAACAAGGGCCAAGAAGGCAATACATTCAAGATCATCAAGAAGAATGCAAGAGAGGAAGAAAGAAGAGAGATTGAAAAACCAAAAGAAAAGGGTAGGGAAGAGAGTGTAAACATACAGAGAGATCTTCAGTGATGTTGGAGATCTCTTCCTTGGCCTTCTTGGAAATCCAAAAGCTCCCAACTTTCGTCAGAGCTTTCTCCATTTGTGCTCCTTTCTTTTGACTTTCTCGGTTCTTCAGTCCTCTCTCAAGGTCTCTCTTATGACTCAACCAGATTGGAAGATGAAGAAGAAGAATGCCTCAGTTAATCTCTCTCCGTCTGTGTGCAGTGTGCAGTGTGCAGTGTGCAGTGTGCTTGTGAGAGAAAAACAGAGTAGAGATGACGAGTCATATCATAAGCATATGAAATATGAGTGGCAACTACCAATCTGCCAACTCACATGATGCTGCTACATCACAAAAATAAATAACAAAAAAGTCGATTAATGAATATTAAAAAATTCAATTTCCGGTGTTGAAAACTAAAATTAAGAAGCTGGTTTTCACTCTTATGTTTAAAAGCAATAAAACGGAAAAAAAAAAATGTTTTTATTGATAGGATATGATACATTTTGGAAGAACAAACTCTAACAATACGGATCGATTCATTACAAAGTCAAAATCAGATCATGAATTTAGGAAACTGATGTGATGAGCTTTATTTTCAAATTTTGATAAGCTTTACTCTTTTTAATTAATTTATTTATAACCAAATGGATAGGTTTAAGCTATATCAAAAATATAAATTTCAAATTTAGAGATTGAAGTTTACATAAGATTACATCAGAAGAAAAGGAAACATGTCAAATTTAAATGGTTACTTCTGAAGTAATGAATTTATGCTAGTTGATAAAGTTTTTCCTCGTACCATCGGGTTGTCAAACCTAAAGGAGAATAAATATTTTAGATACATTTTAAGTTAACTATGCTTCCAATTCACTCAAGCCAATAGTAAGTGTTAATTATATTGCAAGTTAAGGGAGATGGGGACGAAACATTTTAACCATTCTCCATTTCATGGTTCAATAATGGTGTATGGGGACAAATGGGCTTATGAGGCTATGAGGCAATCACAAGTCATCCAGTTGGCATTTTCGTTCTCAAGTGAAAAGTCCTATTCGATCGGCTCTTTATATTAAATCAAAAATATGAGAATGTGACGCTGATGAACATATGTTACACTTACGGTCGAATTAAAGATGTTTAGTTCGAATTTTTTAAGGTATATACCATCTTCAACAACTGGACTTGGGACAATTGCTTGCTTAGTCATCTCATGTTCTTCTATATCCTTTATCCTTCGAGTTTTGAAGGAAATTAATCAGTTTCATGCACTAGAAACCAAGGCATTTGATTTTGGTGATCAATCCAAGGCACAGGCGGAACACACAGAGGAACTTTGTAGCATCTTCCAAAACCACATAAAACCATGATTCATTTTGTTGTGTATCTCCAGAATTCTTGCTTGTTTCAGATAAGTTTTCCTCTGCTTCCTTTCTCCCCTTTCACTCACTCAATTTCAGGTACCATTCTTCAGCTTCCCATTAATGGATTTTGAGGTATAGCTTGCTTTTTTATATACTGACATAAATTGTAATTGTGTCATTTTTGTTTCCAGGATATTCAATTGATTGGGAAATATGGGAGAGATTGATACCAAACCAATTGAATCAGTCCAGGCTGCTTTGTCTTTGTTTGAAGAGAAGACTGATCACCGGAAAATCCGGCCCACCGGCACCGATGTAAGACCTAACCTTATATGTGTACCTGCCATTAACTTGTAGTTTCAAGATTAGAAGATTCTTTCTTTTGAGTTTGAATTGTGATATATGCATATGGTTTTTCTAGCTTAACTCATAGCTTTGTTTTCGGTTTATGCAACTATGCTGTGAATTTTAGAGATGTGATGTATGAGATTTGATCATTATTTTGTAATTTCTAGGGTTTCCAGTTTTAATTTTACGCAAGTCTCAAATTGTTAGTAGTTATGCATATTTGAAGGTGATATATCCATGCATTGTGTCTAATCATACCAAAACTGATTTGCTCAACACATAAATGTTGTAATGAAATGTATGTAATTGTTTTCTTGATAGGCTGTTTTGGCATGCATTATGCACCTACCATATGGAAATCCTAAAATCTTGCAAATCCTACAAATAGTGATTTGTATATTGATTACTTTTGTTGATCCTCCAACATTCTTTTGCAGGAGAGTGAGAAAGAGAGAGAGCTTGAAGGTGTTTTGAAGGATTTGGCCAATTACAAGGTACAACTGGAAGCAAAGGATGCCGCCTACATGCAAGTTCTTCTTAAGCTGCAACACCACCAGTACACAGCCGATGAACTTTGCATCCTGCTTCAAAACATTGAGGTTGAGAGAGATAGATACATAGAAGAAAGCAAAGAGGCTAGAACTCAGGTGCACCAACTTGAGTCCAAAGTGAGGGAGATGTCTGATCAGCTCTCAGACACTCTCAAGGTAAGGGAGCAGCTTATGCATGTTTTTAGTGAGTTGAAGGCCACACAAGCAGAGCTGCTTAGCATGGAAACAGAACTTGCCGATGCCAGAGATTCGGAGCTCAAGGCTCTAACACAAGCGGAGCTGATGGAAACAGCGTTCGTCATGGAGAAAGATAGGGCAGAAGAGCTTCTTAAACATGTCTCGGAGCTCAGTGAAGCCGTGGTTATGTCAAATGTTGCTGCTATTGAAGCAGAGAAAGAGAAGTTGGTTTTATTGTCTGAGAAAGATGCTGAGATTGAGATAGCTACTCTTCAAGCACAGGAGCAGCTAGAGGATGTGAGAAAACAAATAGGAATGGTGGAGGAGTTGGAGGATCAGCTCCTTGCCAAGTCTTCATTCATTGATATGCTTCAATTGGAGATTAAACAGGTGAATGAACAACTTAGTTTTTCTGAGAAGGCTGCTTCTGATGCCATGAATGACTTGAAGCAGCTAGAAGAAGAGTTAGAAGTTAAGGAAAGAAAGATCTTGGACCAGGAAGGTTTCATTGAGGCACTAGAAATGGAGCTGAATCAATTAAAATTGGAGTTAATTAATGCAAATGAAGTAACCAAAAGCTTGAAGAGTGATGTTGAAATTCTTACTGAAGAACTACAGAAGGCCAAAACTGAGATTGATGAGATCAAGGAAAGCGAAAACAAAGCACAGGTTGAGATAGCAAAGCTGGAATCTGAGCTTCACAGAGGGAGGTCAAAAGTTGCAGCAGCAGAGGCAGCTGAAGCAAGAACTGAGAATGTCAAGTCTGGCTTGTACCTTGCAATTCAGCAACTAGCAATAGAAGCAGAGACCGCCAAGAAGGAAAACAGAATGTTAAAGCAAGGAGCAGATAGTTCAGAGGAAGAAAATCATGAACACTCTATCCTTGTTGATCCTCATTTGGAGAAAGATTCTCAAGAAGATGTTGTGGTTTCTAGAATCGATGAACTGAACCCTGAAGCAGAAGAGAGAACTGATGAGAATGAGGCCCAAGTAACAATTTCTTTGAAGGAATATGAGTCCTTGATTAAGAAGGCTGAGCAGGCTGATCAAATTCCTTTGCCATTGGAGGAAGGCTTTAGTCAGTTAAGCTTAAGCACCATGGAAGAGGAGTCTGAGTTGGAATGTCTGAAGAAGGAGTTGGAAGCTGCAATGGAAAAGGTAGCACAATTCCGCAACCGGGCTGAACAGGCTGCTACTAGGGCTGATCTTGCTGAGAAAGCTAAAGCAGGACTAGAGGACCAGATAAGGATTTGGCGACAAGTGAAGCAAAAGAGAAGAGCTGCTCTTGCTGCACTTACGGAGGTATCTGCTCCTAAACAATTCTGCCCTCCTCCATATGAGTCCCCTAAACAACTTAGCCCTCCTGCATCGGAAGAAACACGAAAAATATGTCTACCTTTGGGTGAGATTCTTAACATGAAATTCTAGTTGTTCTTGGTTAAGCTTAGGCCAGCTAATTGTTCATGTGACTGGCAAATACTGCTTGTTGAATTCATTTGTTTTCTAAGGTTAGTGTATCAGAACTTTGGATCAATAATGCCAATTTCTTAGTGTGCTAATTCGTTTTATCCATGTAAATGTATTCCTTATGCTGCCGTTGCACGTCTTCATTTTGTACATCTCTCTTTCTTTTTCTTTTTTTTAAATGTATAAGTGACCATTTTCCTATACTAGAAGATTCATTTAAACTTAACAAATAGGCATTTTGTTGCAATTTTACACTTCATGCACAAACGATGTTTCAAAGGAAGATGCTGAAATTAGTCAAAACTAATTGCTCATGTAACTTTCGACGCTCTCCAAAAGAGAACAACCTCAGGCATCTGCTTCACCAAAGCAACAATCTTCCACCTTAATATAACTCAGGTTTCTGAGCTTAATAACCAACTACAGTCAACTATGACTTGAAACTCTCCAATATTACTGCTGCTGCTCATTCACTAAGTTCCATTAGGCTTTCATTGTCCTCGAATTCAAAGTAGCTAGCAGAAAAAGTTTGTAACATATCAGTTTGCATACTATGGCACATTGAACAGACATAGCACAAAATTTTGATCCAATTAGTTTCTTGTGCACTGCAAGTGCAGTTAAAGAGGTTATGATATGGATGAGAGCAGTACAGGGCCATTTAAGCCAAAATGGATTTGGGGTCCGTTTCAACTTAGAAGCACTTTTTCTAGAAGAACCTCTCAAACACTTCCTTGCTATTAGAATTTTGGACATAGGGTTTAGGGTTTTAGCTATAGCTAGCATAGCATGCACATAGTTGATAGCCATAGTGTGAACTGTGAACTTAATTTCTTTATTCATATACTATTATGGTCCAGTCTCCAGTCTTTAAAGTATAAAAGTTTGAACAAGAAGACTATGAGTGCATATTTTAAACCAAAATGATCACAACTTTCTGCACACGGGTGGGGTGGGGATTGTTGTATATAATTGACCATAGATTAGCAATTAATAATCTTTTAATTAATGCACTAATTGAGTTGTATTTTGATTAAAAACACATGATTCACGGATCTTGAACATAGTTTGTAACAGAAACCTTTAGTGTAGTGGGTAGGCAAAAGTTGAAGAAGTTGTGGTTTTGGTTACAATTGGGTTAGGCTTACTTTGTTCTCAATATATGTGGTTTAGCTAATCTATTTTGGCTTTGAAATTGAATAGCTACCTCAAACGTATGCGTATCTTGATCTTGCAAAGTTTTCAACTTTATGATTCGGTAAATTATTTAAAGAAAATATCATCAATTGTGCGCCGTATGGTTACTATGATCTTGTCTCCAAGCGTCTGAGATTTGTTAACTAAAAATAAATTCCCTTTCAAAGTTTCTGTGATCTTGTCTCGGGTTGGATTATTAT